GGCTGCGGCTGCCGGAGCAGGGGTGTCCCCGGCCGTGTCCCGCTGGTTTTTTGTCCCGGGTGCGGGGAGGGGGTGCAGCTCAGTGCGTGGGACAGGCAGGGGGGCGGCTTTCCTTGTGTGTGTGTGTGTCCCCGAGCCCCTGCAAACCCCTAGCCCTGCTGTGGGCAGCCCAGCTGCAGCCCTCAGCCTCCGCCACCCGTGCCAAAAGGGATCCGGCTCTTGCCAGATGAGCTCCAGGCACAGGCAGGCTCCTGCCTGGTCTCCTGTAGCAGCGGCGTGGACGTATCACCAGAGCAAGGGACTAAAAGCCACCACGGGAGAGGATTTGGGAAGCTGGAAGCCGGGTGGACCACGCTGATCCTCTTTCCGAGCTTTGCGGTCCCGTCCTTGGCAGAGGCTTGCCCGAGTCGCGCCTTGTTCCAAGCCGATTCTCCCTGCACATCCCTACAAGCTGGGAGGAGGCGTGTGCCCACGAAATGCAGGCTCAGCTCTCCCCCCCACCCAAAAGTGCCCACAGAGTTTTATCTTTGCCCTTTAGTTGCTCTGAAATTTCCATTCAGACCCTTTTCTGCTGCTGATCCTTTAGTGTTGTTTCTTGGCTGCAGGACCAGTCCCCGGGGGGTGCAGGCAGCTACTTCCAACTTCAAAGCAGTCCCAGGTCTGCGCTAACATTGCACAGGGGAGCGGGCAGAGCTTCAGGCCAAGCCTGCCAGGCAGGTAGGGACGGCGCAGGGAAACCCCGTCTCTCCGTGGTCTCCCACATCCCTGCACTGAGCACTGCTTGGCCAGGCTGGATCTGGAGTCCGTCTGCTGAGCCAGGTTTATGTAAGCACTGATTTGCAGTGTCAAGAGATGCCTAAGAATCAGCTTGCCTTTGGAAAATGTATAAAAACTTGGCATCTGGCCCAAGGCTGTACCAGTAGCCCAGTATTTGTCTTGGTCCCAGACCCTTGGAGAGATTCTGCCATCTCCCACCTGCTCTCAGCTTGGCCACGCATCTCTATTGAGTACTTTCCAGGAGCCAGGATGGAGGAGGAGTGCACTGTCGCTCTGTCCTTTATAGTGGTATCTACCATTGCTTTTCTGGCAGACCTGTGGGTGCTCCTTGCGTGGGACCATAAACTCCCCTCCAGCTCACCGGCTCGGCAGGCGCTGCGCCGTACTGCGGTCCTCCCTTGGCACGCTCGCCCGCTCCTCCTGACAGGCAGGATGCTGGGCCAGGCGGGTCGCCGGTCAGACCCAGGGTGTGACGGTCCTGGCTTTCCTGTTGTTAACATCAGTACGGCATCACTGCGCCTTCCTTGGCAAAGGTGCTGAGCCCCAGCCACGGGAGCTGACTGTTGGGAGGGCTGCAGGTGGAGACAGCGTGTTCAGAGCATGGGCAATGCTCTTCCCTTCTTGTGGCGTGGAAGGGAAGGCGGCGTTAGCTAATGTTGCTTATTCCAAGAGCCAGGGATTAGGGAAGAGAGCTGACTTGCAGACTCCTGGAGAGACAGGGACCTGATCCTGCACTGCTTGCTGACCCAAAGCAAGTGCGTTCTCGCTTGGGATCAGTAGGACGATGAGCTGTGTCTGCTGGCAGGCTTAACATTGGCACGTCGCTGCTTTTTGTTGCAGGTGGGAAGGCAGCGGTAGCTCACTATGGCCCTGGCAGACAGCGCGGGCTGTGCCAAACCCAGCGAGGACTTCCCTTTCCCCGAGATCATTGAACTCAATGTGGGTGGACAAGTCTACATCACTCGCCACCCCACCCTGGTCAGCGTGCCTGGCTCGCTCCTCTGGGAGATGTTCACCCAGAAGAACGTCCGCTCCCTGGCCCGCGACAGCAAGGGACGGTTCTTCGTGGATCGGGATGGCTTCCTCTTCCGCTACATCTTGGATTACATGAGGGACCAGCAGCTGGTGCTGCCCGACCACTTCCCGGAGAGGAGCCGTCTGCAGCGAGAGGCCGAGTACTTCATGCTGCCGGAGCTTGTGAAGATGCTGGCCCCCAAGCTCAGCAAGCAGAACTCGCTGGGAGATGACCCATGCCAAAGCGACCCGGAGGAGCTCTCCCCCAATGCGGATGCCACCCGCAACCTGACCTCTGCCAGTGCCACGCTCCCCAGCGCTGTGGCTGGTGGCCTCGGGGCTGCCGTCACTGCTGGTGTGGGTGCTACCGGCACCGATGTCCGCAGGGCAGGTTTCATCACCATCGGCTACCGGGGCTCCTACACCCTGGGCAGGGACAGCCAGACGGATGCCAAGTTCCGCAGGGTGGCGCGGATCATGGTCTGCGGCAAGACATCGCTGGCCAAGGAGGTCTTTGGGGATACCTTGAATGAGAGCAGGGACCCGGACAGGCCCCCGGAGAGGTACACCTCCAGGTACTACCTCAAATTCACCTTTCTGGAGCAAGCCTTTGATAAACTGGCCGATGCTGGCTTCCACATGGTGGCTTGCAACTCCACAGGCACCTGTGCCTTCGCCCACGACCAGACAGATGACAGGATCTGGACCTCTTACACCGAATATGTTTTCTATCGTGAGTGATACCAAAAAAAAAAAACCACCCACAAACCAAACACCAACTCTCCCTTTCCTCTCCTGTGCCGGCTGTTGCCTAGAAGGTAGACATCCGACCCTAAATCCCAGCGTCCCCTCTTTGCTTCCTTTTGAGTTTGTTCTTGGGTTTTTTTCCCCCTCCTTCCTCCACGTTGAACCTGTTCAGCTCTTCCTTGTAGCAGCTGCTGACCACCAACCTTCTTCCCTTTCTCCGAGTTCTGCAGTAGCCGCCTGTAGCTCCCAACCTTCCCTGGATGTGTGGACTTGGACACTGTCGTGTATGTGTTTTGGGTGGGAGGGGGGGATACAGCGGACTGTGCTCTGGGCTGGGATTCCTGCGGCTGGATGAGCTTGTCCCGGTTGGACACTGAACTCGGCTCTCACGCCCTATACGCCATGCAGCTCCCCAGGAACATGCTGCATACACTGTATTTGATCTGCCAAGGGGTTTGAGTGAGAAAGCATTGGTTTAAGGACATGGAGAAAGGTGGGAAGCAGAGAGGAGGGTGGGGAGAGGGGTGGAAAGATGAAGCCTCGCGGCACGGATATATTGCCATTAGCCCATGTAAGCAGCTTAGCGTTTAGACTGTCAGTGCTTGGGAAGGTTAGATAAAGATGCACCCTGTGTTTGCAGTTCTGATTTGAAGCATCACTGCTGCTCTGGGATGCCTTGGGGGTTTTTTTGGGGGGGTGGGAGTGGGCGGATAGACAGATGCTCTGTTCATGCATACATGGAGGGAGGTGGGGGGGAGCGGGGAAGGCTTTAAACGCTGAAGGGTGTAAAATGCTTATACATCTCTCAAACTAGTTGGAGGTCTGTCAGAAAAAAGTACCTTCATCTTTCCTTCGGAGTACGATAGCGACGTGGGCTTCAGAGGGATGGGGTTGGGTTGCTCCGGTGAGCAGCAGTCGGGCTCAGCCGCAGTCACGACTTCACAGATTAAAGGGAATCTTTGCCCAACGTGAAAATCTCTGCCATTTTGGCAATCTCGTGCAAAGGTCTCTCCAATCACAGCTCTCCAAGGCCTGCTTTTGGGCCTGGGGCTGGCTGCTGCTGCTTTACTACGCCTGGGCAATGTGTAATAAAGGAACAAAAATGACTCGCCTCCGTCTTCGTGTGCCGAGGTGCAAAGGAGGTAGTGCTGGTTGTGTGCTACGTGCACGCGGAGGTGTTGCTCGAGCAGACAACAGCGCTGGCACATGGGCAGGGGGCAATGTGCTTTAGGATATGGATTTAAATATAAGGAGAAGAAAGGAAGACAAACTTCCTGGAGCCCTCTTGCCTTCCTCTGACCCCCCTCCTCCTCTTTGAACCCTCACTCCCATCCCAGTTGGGCCGAATTGCAACGCAGCACATCCCTGCAGGGATGCTGATGCAAGCGGTTGGGTCCAGAATTCCCCCCCTGCCTGCAGACCAGCCCTGGATGATGCATTCATCCCCATCACTCAAGCAGAGCCTTGCAAGCTCTGGTACAAGGGGTCAGCCTGCAGATCTCGGTGCCACTGCCTGCGGGAGCAGTCGCAGGTGGCCCCGCTACCCTGATGTCCCCAGCTGCTGCCAGCTCCCCCTCTGTTGCTCTGCTAGGTCTCGGCTCCCTTACACCCACCATCCAGCCCTGGTCCCCCACCTCTGGCTGCTTCTCCAGCAGCCCCTGTGGAGCTCTCGGCGCAGGGAGCTAAAGGATCGCCTCAGCTGGATGCCAGCCCAAGGGCGTTTCGGTTTGGGGGTCACTTGGGAGGAAGGTTTGCAGCTGGTTTCCGAAGAGGCGGGAGGGCTGCAGTCTTCTGGCATGCAGGGTGAGCAAAAACTTTGCAGTGAGGCAATCCCTCTCTCCTGAAGAAGGGGAAGGTGAAAATCATATTTTTTATAAGGGCCCGTTCCTCATTGCAACAGCATTTTGAAGAGGAAATGACAACCAGCTTTAAAAAAAGAAAAGAAAAAGGAACTTGAGCTCCATGTGGAAAGAGAGGGTGAAGGACAGAATTAAAATGTTTTAAGTAAAGGGGGAAGCGACATGCACTCCATGTTTGCCCGTATTTTTTTTATAACTAAAGATTTTTCTGATCTTTTATTAACTAGGACTGATCAGAAAAAGAAATTGCTGCCTTGTGAGAAATGCTAGTGTTTTGAACTTTGCCTTTCCCCTCTGGAACTGGACTGAAAAATTGACCTCACAGGAGGAAGCATTTTTCCTGAGGGAGAGACCATAATGGCAAAGTCAACATTTAGGTGGTTTTGATCTGCCAGGTTATGTGATCTGGGCTGTTAAACCTAATACTCAGTGAAGTACGATCAGAGCAGAAGAATTCACTTTTTAATCATTTTAGAGTCTGAAGGTTTTCATGAAAACCAATACTTTGTGAAAAAATATGTTGGTTGACATCTATCTCAACAAAAATACAACAAATTTGGGGTTGTTTCTTTTCTTTGCATATATCTAGTAATAGAAAGAGCATCCTTTTGCTGCTGCCTGTGGCTGGAAGGAGAACCTGGTTAATTTGATCCTTAGGGGAGACCATTTGCAGAGAAATGGGGGCATGGAAAACCATCTATTTGAGGTTCTCATCCTCTGAACAGTCATGGCAAGTCACTCGAGCTGGACAAAAAAAAGCAGGGGATGGCTGAAGTGAGTTGGGAAGCTCTCTCAGTCTCCAGGGCTTCAGGGAGACAGTGCAGAAGGCACTTTCCTGGTGTCGCCTGTTTTGCTGGCTTTTCCTGGGAATGTGCCTGCATTTCTGTGTGTTTCCAGATCTCGAGCTGCTTGCTGGACCACGGTGGTCTGTCTCTGGGTTGGGCTTGTTCAAAGCACCTAGACGTCCTTCGCTCTCCTTGAGCCTGTGATCTCTCCTCAGCATCTCCCACCATCCAGGATGTCCGTAGGGACTCAAGGGAAAAATCAAGTCTTGTTCAGTCTCCTTCCCTCCAGCCAGCCCTGGCTGTTGGACCCAGAGGTGATTTTCTGGGCGGGCAGGCTGCAGTGCACACCCACAGTAAGCCAGAATGGGTTGCATGTGCATGTCTTTGGGGGATTAGTCATGTTGCCTGCAAAAGCCCAGGGCCGGGAGGGATCCTTGTGATTATTTTAACCTGACCTGTGCTGAGCAGTCATCAGCTTTTCTGAAGGGAGTCCTGCTGCGAATGAGAGGTGGGGACTGTGTCTCAGCTAGAGCTGGTCCACCCCCCGATGCCAGACCACCTACCACCTTGGCCTTGAGGATGGTTTACAGGATAGTGTAAGAAGCCCACAGCCTCCCAAGGGGGTCTCCGTGGGGCAGCAGGTCCCTTGTGGAAAAGCATGGACCATGGTAGGGGAGAGCGTCCTTTGGGAAGGCATCTGGTCTCACTGCAAAGCTCAGCAGCTGCTGAGCTCACCAGAAACCAAGGAGTATTTTCATAAAGGGCTTTAACTTTCAAAGCTTCTTTTCCCTCTGACGGGTAGTGTAACTCACCCTTTCATTTAGAGATCCCCAGAAAATCATCCATCCCAAAATAATATCCCTTGTTCAAATGAGGCAGAACATGAACTTGGGCTGGGTCTGCGTTCCCAGGCGAGCACCCTGCCCACAAATTGCTGGTTACTTGCTCAGTGTCTCATTCTGCACAAAAACTGCAGGAACTAAGCTTTCCCCATAAGGAAAAACCAAATCCCATCTGTCTCCATCAGACACTTCTGCCACCCTGAAAGAACATCTGAAAACATTTTATCTCCTAGGTCTGTCTTCAGCCCCTCTGTAAGGGGACCTCCTTTGAGGCAGAGGAGTCCTGCCCTGCCCAGAAGCTGAGCTCTCCCCATCCTGCCAGCAGCCAGGAGGCAATAAGGATGGACCAGACCAATACTGGGGGACTGGGAAGAGGACAAGCAGGGTCCCATGGGGTCCAGAAGATTAGAGAGGTTAGAGGGGAGACACAGAAAACCCTGTCCCCATCCTAGAAATCCCGTCCTGCCATGGGAGACCTGAGAAGCCCAGGCTGCTCAGCACACCACAAAGATTGAGGCTGACTAGATTGCGGTGTTGAAATAATGAAGATCTTAATTGATCAAGAAGCACAGAAAGGGTAGAAGCAGCCGTAGCTGGAAGCTGTAACCAGCCTCTTCCAATCTGAAAAATAAAACCCCAAAAACCTACCTTTAACAGCATGGGTATTCGCCACTGAGAAAAACTGTTGGAGAGATGGGAGTTCTCCAGTTCTTGGTGCAGAAACTGCAGCCTGGATGCCTTCTGTAGGAAGGGGTTTAACAAAACAAAGCTTTTAGGCTCAGTTTAGCAGCTGACACCGGTTGGCTGCAATGTGCACGAGGTGAGACAACATGCAGAGCATTGCTCTGCTCTGGCCAGCCATGAAGAGGCCTCTGGGCCTCCTTCCTGGGGCCACGGGAGAAGCAGCAGAGGAAATGCACTGAGCAGTCAATGTTTGCCTTTGCTGGAAGTCGTGAGAGCCAGAAGATGCTTTGGGTTGGGTAAGCTGTTCCGGCAGCTGGCAGAGAGCTGCAGGAGCACTTTGCCAAATGAAGCTTGTTCAACCTGTGCTGACAGCTTGTTCTGAGCTAAAGCAGGTTAGACTTTGTGACTTCGTGACATGCAGATGGTTTTCTTAAAAGGCTCTTGCAGTTAAAAAAGTTTTGCTTAGTTCTAGGTGGTGGATGGCTGGGAATTATCACCCCCCTCCTCTGGGAGAGCTGTACGGTATCTGACTGAAATATGTTCTTGCAAGTAGACTAAACCAGATTTCATCTAAATCATATTTGAGGCCACAGTACAACCCCTGCATCCCAGATGTCTGTTCCCTCTCCCTCCTTACCCTGCTCCAGGCTAGATACACTGTGATGCAGAGCCCGCTTTGCCAACAGCATCCTTACAGTGACCCCAAAGGGAACATCAGCCCCCAACACCCCAGAGCAGCAGGACAAATCTGCCATCATAAATAATTTTTTTTCCTGTTCACAGACTACTCTAGAGCACAGAAAACTTAACTCAGCCCCGCGGTTTCCTAGACTCAGCCCGAAATTGGATGATGTGG